TGTGTGTGTGTGTGTGTGTGTGTTGGGGGGGGGACTGGTCGCCTTGTTAGGTTGGCTGCAGTATTTCTAACAGTGAGGAGGACTGTCAGGAGACAGCTGGGTGGCAGAGGGGACAGGGACAGGGGACAGGGGTTTTGTCTCGTGCCACCTGTAAGCCATGTAAGATCCGGGGCTTATCAAGACATAAACCCAATTCTTTTCAAAACTTGTAACAAGTTCCTGAGCAGGGAACCCGAAGACGTTCAGAAATAGCAGACAGGTGGTCTGAGGACGAAGAACTCCCCAAGAAAGTTCCGCACCGAGGACGGCTCTCCAGTCCGGTTGGATGTCAGCTGGGAGTGGGTCCAGACTCTTCAGCCGAGGATCAGATCAGAACCGTTTTTATTTCTTCTTGCTGAGTCTGGGGGGCAGCGCTGCGGAATGAGCGGGGGTCGCTTCGAGTTTGATGACGGAGGGGCTTACTGCGGCGGCTGGGAGGGGGGCAAAGCCCACGGCCACGGCATCTGCACCGGACCCAAGGGCCAGGGCGAGTACTCTGGCTCCTGGAACTACGGCTTCGAGGTGGTCGGGGTTTACACCTGGCCCAGCGGCAACACCTACGAGGGCTACTGGTCGCAGGGGAAGCGCCACGGGCTGGGCGTGGAGACCAAAGGACACTGGATTTACAGAGGGGAATGGACCCACGGCTTCAAAGGCCGGTACGGGGTCCGGGTCAGCGTGGGCAGCGGCGCCAAGTACGAGGGCACGTGGAATAACGGTCTGCAGGACGGGTACGGGACGGAGACGTACGCAGATGGAGGTGAGAGAAACTAAAAACTGTTCAAAGTGTCTGAAATCCTGGCGACACTTTGAACAGTTTTTAGTTTGGCTTTGATCTGTGAAATCTGTGGGAAATTAAAAAAATACATCAACCTGAGTGTCAGAAAGGCTTATAGACCAGAGGTTTTCAAAGTGGGGTCCCAGGAGGACCCCCAGGGGTCCACGAGGAGTATACTATCTTGGGGGTCCTCAAAAATTTTCACTAAATTGTTAATTTGGTTTTTATTTTTAAAAATGCATATGGGTTGAAATGACAATAAATTATCTTTTAAAACAGCATGGGGGTCCCTGGAATTTTTTCGCCCTTTTAAGGGATCCCCAGACCCAAATGGCTTGAGAACCCCTTTGTTTTTATTTTATTTTTATATTGAAATGCCTATCGCCCGCGCCTGTAATGACGTCACAGTTTTAGACAGGTTGAGAAATGACTGAGTTGTTGATGTAATGGTGAAATCTTGAAAAAAATGTTTTGTGGAGACTCAGCAAATACCACACCATAGTTTACTTCAATATCTATAAAATCAACTGTGTTATTACCATTTTTCTGTTGTGTCCATTAGCTGGAGGGCCATGTTGATTTGGACTAACACTGACATCAAATTTTTGCAATAAATATAAATGCATTTTTGAAAAGAAAACATTGGTACAGAAAAAATCCATCTTTCTGAAATGAAAAGTTGTTGAGTTAATTAGATGTGAAGTAACGGGAAGTGATGTCAAAGGGGAATGTCTGCATGTAAACAAAGCTGCTACAACAGACAGAAGAATCTGATGTTTGTTTAGATTATTTTGTCACTATCAGAGAGAAGAAGAAGAGTTCAGATAATGTTTCAATAAATAAAGACCAGAGAGTTCCTCTTTGATGTCACTTCCTGTTTCACAAGGAAGGATTTCAAAAGGAAATCTTTAAAATGGTGTGTAAATATCAAGCTTCATAAATATAAAGATTTTTTTAACTTTTTGTATTTAAAGGATATAAACATCACATGAACTTTAAATGTTATCAAGTTTGATGTACAGGAACTTTCTGAACACCTCTTAAAATCTGCCCTGCTGTGAATAATGATATACACTCACCGGCCACTTTATTAGGTACACCTGTCCAACTGCTCGTTAACACTTAATTTCTAATCAGCCAATCGCATGGCGGCAACTCAGTGCATTTAGGCATGTAGACATGGTCAAGACAATCTCCTGCAGTTCAAACCGAGCATCAGTATGGGGAAGAAAGGTGTTCCCTTTCAGTCAATTCACTCGGTACAACATCATGTATGGGAACCACGCCCCTGCGTGT